CACATACATGCAAACAAAAGTCTGACCTGTCGGCACACACCTGCGTCATTAGCGACTTGGATTAGATATGTTTGACGCTTGGATTGATGTGCTCTAGGATAAAAATACTTGACATACGTGACACACTGAATACGTCTTGTGAGATCTAGAACACCCGTGGGAACCTCAGGGGCAGCCCTAATATTTGAAGTCCCTATCAAACAATGTCAAAGCCAGAACTCACCGTGTCCCCAGAATCCAAAGAAGCAGAAGAAGACCAACCAGAAAAACTGATCGACCTGCTCATTACTGACATTGATATTGACAATGACGATCAGCAATTCTGTGCTGAAGATGGCCCACCCTCCCCCCCTCCCCGTAGGTCTAAATGACAACACGGTGTAAATATGTACACTTGTACATATGTAAATAATTTTGTATAGAGTATTTACCTCAATAAATGATATATCTGAACTGTAAGCGTCAACTTCGCGATTGCCTAACTACAGTGACAAATGCGTCATCACTCACCAATCATGTTCGATTGACTGGAACCGCACGAAAACTGCATAATGGCAATGGCTGGCTTTTGGATGAAAATCGCACGTGTTCCAAATGTTTGCAGGTATAAAAAATATGCGTGACTTACATATTTGTACAGTTCAAAGCGATATCCTCCATACGACTGATATTCCGTGATTATTGGCTGAAATATCGTTCTTCTGTATATGCCTAGAACCGATGAACGACCGGTTATGTCTTTAAAAAAAACATAAGATTGAATTATTTTCAGTCTTCATTGATTTGCCTGTAAGCAAATGCAGCTGAATGTTCAAATTTGATACACCATAATATGTTATGTATTTTCATCTCATTTATCATACAGATTACAAGTGGCAGACTAACCTCACAGTTTCGTCATCATGAAAACTTCACGCTCTGATTAAGTATAAATGCCGACGTAAGGAAACTTGATGTTTAATGTCAACAAGAGAAATAAAAGCAACACATAAATCGAATCCAATTTGTCACGGTTAATGACGCTTTTTGAGAAAGCACTGACGACTCGACGAACGTGAAAACATAAACATATCTCCATAATCTCCATAAACATATTTCATAAACAAATCATATCTCCGTCAGTCGACCGGACATTCAGCCAGACAGAATCGCATAACGCGGTCCTTATAGACGTGCACAGCGGCCATCACGAAGGTCATGGCAAAATCCAGCTTCGACTTGTACCCTTCGTTGAAAATTGTCTTTTTGCCACAACCTATATCAGCAAGTCTGCTAATCGCTTTCTTCTGTTCCAAATTCAGACACGTCATTAAAGCGGCTTCCAAATTCAGTAGCAAACCACCAGTCCTAAAATAAACCAGCGGTTTGAGGTCGAAGTATCGCATAGTTAGACTCCCTTTATAAAAAATATTTGACAGTTCACTGTGAAGCAGTTTTTTAGGCGTTTTCTGAAACTCTGAGGAATAAGGTTACACAGTTTCTTTACGTGTATGACGAAAGTTCCGTTAATCTTTCAACGGAAAAGTAGATGAACCTCTTTCGAGACAATTGAGGTAGTTCTTCACCTTAATTGACGCCCAAATATATACAAACGTGCAATGAGCCCCTTTGTTGCTTTCAGCTGCATGTCGTACTCGTTTTGCGTGACTAAGTTAAAAATGTAGTAACATGGAATTCAAGTCGCAGATAAGCAAACGTTCTTTCCTTTCCATTGTGCCAGACGTTAGACTGGTCTAACAAACAGATGACGTGGCTGCAACCGATGCTGCCGAACCGACTCCAACGAGGGAAGTACTTACATGTAAAACACTTTCCAAATTATAACAGCTATATACATTTACATTACATCGTTCCGTACCGAATTCTTCTTCTCCTTCGTATACTATTACATCGAAAACGGCGATGGGTGCCGCACAGCCACCTCACGCTGATAGAATGAATACCTCATCACTCTTCAGTCCTTTCAGTGCTATGTCAGCTCTAACTAGATCTGATCTTCACCTCCTGTTTGAGATTTCCCTCAAGGCTGTCTGGCATCAATCTTTGCGACAAGTATCCACTTCAAAAGGCAGCTATCGATCATACGCTGACATTTGCTCCGCCATCTTAAACGCCTTACTTGCAGCGAGTCTGACTTCAGTTGAATATTCCAATCTTCTTCTCATAACAGTGTTTCACATCAGATCGTGTCATTTCATAATATCTGCCTCGAAATCTTTATTTCTGTTGCTCACAGTTTCCTGATTTCAGTTTCATGTGCTGCCGTGTCCGTGCCGTAGAGCAAGATGTTCAGAATACCAGTTTGTGCCTCTGTGAAAATGCGGATGCTTTTGTCCTTCTACAGCTGGAACAACTTGCTGCTCGCTGCTAATACCGAGTTACCCCGCCCCGCCGTTTAGCTTCATTCAGCACTTATCCATCGGCAACCAATTTACACCC